GACAAAATCAATGAACAATATTATGAAACGATAATCCGATCATCGCTGTCCCAGACAGCTTGACTTCCTCGACTGACTGTGCACCGGGTCGGCATGGCGGACAAGCGGAACCCCCCGGGGCAGTGCCACTAACTGAAGTGTCTTTAGGCCATTCCCAAAGGGGGGACATTTCTCCATCAAGCAAAGTAGAGTTTGAAATGGGCTGATTCATCATGTCACGCTCATAACTGCCTGCTGCTTTTTCTTTCCTGATCCTTACTATTGTCATTTTCCTCTACTTCTTTTGTATGTTTGTCACTCTCTTGTGACCCGCAATTTCCGGGGTGCCTTGATAGTCGAAGCAGACTTTGTGCTGTTGAAGCTAGAGAGGTGAGCAGAGTAAGTCTGATTCCCTGTAAGGACTTCTCTGATGACACCCACCCCTTGGCGCTCATATGACCTTATGCAGTTGCGAGCGCCGTAAAACTCTCTACGATTTAAAAAAAAGGGACAAGCGGATTACTCTGTCCAACTGACGTAGGGCCGCCTTCAAATAACTATTCAGCGGTGTAGGCAGTCTCACTCTCGCAACAAGGTCCACATATTGCCTAACACCTGACCCAATGATTGTCTCTGACCTGACTGACCTAAACTTGGAAGCGAGCCTCGTTTTAGGCTCCATATATTTATTTAGACACAAGGAGATTAAAAGTAAGTTCTAAGCTCCTTGTTTAGACACCATCTTCCTTAAGATCAGTAGATCAGGGCTGTTCCTGAAAGTGAAAGTGTCTTAGAGTAGATCGTCTATAGAGTCAGGCCAAACCAGCTTTCCATCATCATCATCATAGTTTGGAAAGCGGAGTAGGAGGGAGAGTCTTGTTTGAATTTCAGACAAAGTAACAGAACAATATAAAATGTTTAAAATTTGTTTAATAAACACAGCTCAACGTTTCGCCTTGTGGGCTTCCTCAGGAGCAAATGAAAGAAAAACTAAATGAGCGCTGTATACTAGCAGGGAAATGGGCCTAACGAGGAGGGTCTTAAGACTACTGTGTGGTTATGGGCTAGACGGAAGGGACTAAGAGAGAGACAGGCAAAGGAGCTAATTATAAAGAAATTGATGCTAGTCTATCATCATCATCATCATCATCATCGCCATCACCATCATCATCATTAATTTGTGTGCATGAGTTGGTGTTTGTGTGTGTGTGTGTGTGTGTGTGT